ATCATTATATAGTATATAATGATGGGTTGGTGACAGATAATAACACATAAACTTCAGACATTACAATAATTTTCATTACTTAAACAAATTTCTCGTTTAACATACTTATCAGACTTGTACTTTGATTATAGCTTTGATCAGGACTAAAGATGACTATTAGCAAAACCACACATAGACTTTATCATAGCACTTGTAAAAGTGACACAGAAAATCATAGCACTTTTGCTATGATTAAGTGCTATGATTTTTATTTTATTTTTTCTATAGCCTTTTTTTTTTTACTTTTAAAATAAAAGGCTGGATGTTAAGACCTTTTATCCTGCCTCAGATGTGATGAGAGGTAAGCTGGGGGGACTACAGTCTCTCTCTGTCCCACCCCAAAAACAACTACAATACATCCGCAGATGTGATGAACATTCAAATATGATGATTAGGGAACCTACACTTTAGTGCCCTCTTTGTTTTCTTTATTTTTTGTAAATATTTTACACATGCCATCATATGCGTACTTCACCCCACTGCGGACTGCTTCATTGACCTGACAGATCTTTTCCTTCAGCTTCTGAAACTTCTCTGTGTCTCCATTTTCTTTCATCTTCTTAGTCAGGTAGTCCAAGTGGACATAAGTGGACACTGAATCAACTTTCAAAGCAATTTCACTGAGTGTTTCAACATGTTGGACAACCATGTCAATCCACTTTTCCTTGTCTGCTTCAAGATTATCAATTTCTTTTTGGAGATCATCCAAAATCTCAGATGCCTTCAAAGATGCTGTTTTGTTCTTGTCATACTTCTCCTTTACATCTGTCAGGGTTTTCTTAACTTTCTTTATCTTGTTCACATATCTCCATTTTTCTTTTACATGAGCTGATGCAAGACACTTCCTGCTACAAGCAGTGCAGCGTCCTCCTTTCATGACCTCACAGTGTTCTGGTTTCCAGGCCACTGTGCATCCAGGATAGTGACAGGTCTCCTCACACAATGGGCAGCAGACAGCTGCTTCATAAAAAAACAGTCCCCACATCCCAGTAGAAATCGACTCTTTGTGTTTGTATGGCTCATTAACTTCTATTTCAAACTCTGCATTCAGCTTCATTTGTTTTTCATGCTTCATGATTAAGGCACATTTCACCACTGCCATATTTGCATTGAAAATTATGTTTCTGTTTTTTCCCTCTATGTCTTCCATGTGTTCTGTGTCAGGCACTGCTGCAGAGTCAACTGTATTAAATAATCAGCTGCTAACCCCCTTATTATAATTTTGGTATGTCCAGTTTGTACAGTTTTTGCAGTTCACTTCTTCAGACTTGAATTAAATTTGTGGCTGTTAATATTTAATTTGAAGGTAAAAGTGGATGTTTATCTAGGCTTTAATATTTAACAGACCAGAGCATATATTAATGAAATATGTCATTCATAACTGTAACATTCTGGACAGTGAAGTAAGTTGAACAAAAAGAGAATTGTACCCTGCAGTTGTCTTCTATTGCACTACACTACATGCTATAGTAACACTTATTTTCC